GAAGAATTTAGATGAAAATATACTAGAGATGCTGTTTATATTTAGTCAAATACGAGAAGTACTGGTTGAAGCAAAATACAGGCTTCCAGGAAATGTAGTACAGAAATGGCAAGAAAAAGCTAAAATAATCGAATTAAACTCAGGTTCAATTAATTATCTAACAAACATGAGTCAAAAAGAGGTTAAAAAAAAAGAAAGTAAGATGAAGATTATAAAAGAAGCTAACAATATTAAACCAACAGCAGAAAAAAAGAGATGACAAGAAGAAGAGATACTAGTTAGAGACAAGAAAGAAAATAGTTTAGAAACTGTACAGCAACAATTACAAAAATTAGATATAGCAACAGACCAACAAAATCAGGTTGCTAGTAAACAAGAGGAAGTAATAATAATATTAGATGATGAAAGCAAGAAAAAAAAACAGGAAAGAAACCTAAAAGAGATGAAGAAAACAAGAAGAACCACAATGAAGAATGCAAGATGGAAGATATAAGATCATCTAGCCAAGAAATAGTTAAAAAAGACCTGATGTTATCAGCAATTCCACTAAGTCAGAGTATCTGGACACCAAGCAAATATCTATGCAGCAATACAGGCAACTATAAAGCAAACATACCAACCTATAATGTGTTAGGAGAGAATGAAGAACAATGTATTAAAATGGTAAAAGGGATGCTGACAGGTAACAACTATATTAAAGAAGTTAAAGAAGTTTTTAAAAACTATAACAAGTGGATAGAAGTTACTTTTAACTGTGAAGCAAGAAGAAAAGAAGCAATAGACAAGATAGAGAAGAAAAGCTGAGATTGGTTCAGAATGATTTCAGAAAAAAGTAAACAACCTAAGAAGAAAGAAAATAATGACAATGAAACAAAGAAAGCAAAAAAAGAAAAGAAATATAAAAAATAGCAAGAAGATTGGAAGACAAAATATGATTCAGAAGAAGAAGAAGAAGAAAGAAAAAGATCAAATATAGACAATGAAGATGGAAACTTGAAATATATAACATTGTGGAACCTGCCAAAGGATATAAATCAGTAGAAAATACAGTACGCCTATAGAAAAATAGGTATAGTAGAAGATATACAAATCAAGAGAAGCTTTACAAAAGCATAAGCAATATTGAAGATAGACAGAGAAAAAGAAGCAAAAGTACTATGGGCAATACTAATAGGTAATGAAAAACTGGCAAGAATTACAGAAGGTATAAAAGATTTTGACAAATGAAACAGATGAAGCAAGATAATAGCAAGACTAAAAGGGTTGCTAAGAGGGGCGTCAGAGATACTTCTGCTGAACAAACTAAGAAGTAAGGCAGCAAAATCAGTATATATCCTATATAACAGAAATGGATAGCAAAGAGCGATTGCAATAGTAACTTTTGAAAATAAAGAAAATAGAGATAAAGCTACAATAAGGCTAGTAAGATACAACAACTGGGTACTAGAATGGGAAACCCAATACAACTCAAATAAAGATAATCAAAACAGATTAGAGAGATCACAATCAAGAGAAAAGGAAGAAAAAATACTTGGTGCAAGAAGAAAAAGAGAAAAAAAAGAGCTTAGTGAAGAATTTGAATACAAAAAAAATGAAGCAAAGGAATTAGCAAAAGAAGAAACAACAAAAAATAGGAAGAAGAATATTAAAGAAGACAAAGAAGCGAAGCAAAAAAGAACCAAAAATAAAGAAGAAACAAGTTAATATAGTCTAGAAACAGCATTAAAAGAAATACTAAAAAGATTAAATAATCTAGAACAAAACTCTAAAACAAGAAGGAGAGTTACTAGATGCTCCTAAAAGATGCCATTGTTGAAAACAGAGAAAGGGCTAGAGCGGTGAAGAATTCAACCCAAAAAGAAAAAAAGAAAAGCAAAGTACAAAGAAAGCAAATGGTGCAAACAAATATAGAAAACTATAATATATTAACATTAGGGTTTCATAATATAAATAGTTTAAAAGCAAATAAGAGAAAGATAGAGAATATTCTAGACTATATGAGAGAAAAGAAAATCGATATTTTAGGGCTAGCAGAAACAAATATTACAGAGGAAGAAGGAAGATTTGCTACTAAGAGAGATAGATAGTATGGTAGCTTTTGGGCATCAGCAGAAGAAAACAAGAAAAAAGGCTTAGGAGTCAGATTCATTATAAAGAAAACTTAGAAAAAACATGTTGCACATATGAATAGAAGCAATCCTTACTTTATCGAGTTAGATCTAAGGTTCAAAAGACTGTATATAATAATAATAGCAGTATATGTAGCTTCAGAAAATATAGAAGTACAAGAAACTATAAGAAAACATCTAAAGGAAAAAATATATAAAAAAAAAAAAAGCACCAACGTTTTATCGTGATTGAAGATTTCAATATAGACCTTAACAAAGAAGTCACAAGAAGTATTAAAGAAAAAAAAGATAAGAAAATGCAGATTACAA